GGGCCGCGGGTGCCTAGACGCAGTTTTTTTCCCATTTTGGGGGAAAGGAGTTAGATCCGTGGTTTGGCCTTTTTCTCCCGTTGCCTGGGCGCTTCCGCTTCCGGCCGGGCGGACGGCGCTGTCTCCACGCCCCCTTTGTTTCCAAGATGGCGGCGGGCCGGCCGCGGCCCCCTTCACGTGGACGGGGCGCCCGCACGCTCCCTGCGCGGCTCGGCCGCGGGCTCCCTGTCCCGCGCTCCGGCCTGCCGCGCCGGCGCCTGCCCCCCGTGGGAGGAGGAGGGCGACCGCGCCGCCTGCGTGGCCGGAGCGGTGGCGATGTGCGGTGTCGGTCCCCGTGTCCCGGCTTGGGTTGGGCGCAGTGCCGCGCGGCCCGCTCTGCAGACGTGGACAGCCGGCCCGGGGGTGGCGGGTGGGAGTCAGACCCCGGGAAAGCGAGGGTCGTCAGCGGACATCTTGGGTCTCCCTCGCCTCGTTTGTGTTTCGGTTTGAAAGTGGGAAAAAGCTTGCAGGTAGAGCTTTGAGTTTCTCGGCGCGGGAGGCTTCCTCCGCCCGTGTCACTGGCCGTGCTGCTGCGCGCACTGACCGAGGGGCTCGCTGTTCTCCTTTGGACCCGGGCTGGAGTCGGCAGGGGAGCGGCTGGCCGAGCCGCTGGGGTGGCAGTAACTTTGAGCGTGTGCGGCTCTGCGGCCGGGCTGTCGTTAGGTGGTGTGCTGCGGAGGAAAGGCATAGGCTTTGGGGTTGAATATGCCCGAGTTTAGAACACCTGCGATGTTTTCTAGTGCTTGTGCTGCTTCAACATTTTCTTGGGTTTTCGACCTTCTCTCTTTTGGCTCAAGAGTTTTCAGAAGATCTAAAAGGAGGATAAGCCGGGCTTGGTAGCCCCCGCCTGTAAATCTCAGCACTTGGGAGGCTGAGGCAGGAGGATCATTGCGAGTTAAGAGACCAGTCTAGGCTGCAAAGTGAGCTCAAGGCCAGCCTGAACTGCCTAGGGAGACCTTGTCTCAAAAAGATAGAAACAAAAGAAATAAGCAAAAAGGATAGCATGAGTTGCAGTTACCATGTGTCAAGCGGTTTGCTAAACTCTGCGTGGTTTTATTGCATGAACTTTGTAATAGCTTATGAGAACGAAGTAGTGGTTTTTTTTTTTTTTATTAGGAAGGGAACTGAGACTCATCTTTATTCAGTCTGTCTTGATCCGAGACAGCAGCAGAGATTAAGTGAGTTAAGGGAGAAAGCAAGTGGCTTTGCCCATGCTAAGTTCCTAATAAGTAAAATTTGTTATTGTGATGTCGCACATTTGTTTTTTTTTTTTTTTTCTTTTGTCTTTTTGAGACAGGGTCTCCCTGTGCAGTTCAAGCTGGCCTTGAGCTTACTTTGTAGCCCAGGCTGGTCTCGAACTCGCAAGGATCCTCCTGCCTCAGCCTCCCGAGTGCTGGGATTACAGGCTTGCGCCACCACGCCCGGCGTGATGTCGCACATTTGGAATGGTAGTAGAAAATTAGGTCTTTGGCTCTGCCATAGGCATGCAGGGCTGGAGAGAGCAGAGAAAGTTGCTTTCCAGACGTAGTTCAGCCACCTCCTGGGAACACCTGGGTGGACAGACGTGACCTTAGTTTAAAAAAGACAGAACGAAGTATTAAAGGTTAAGTTGCATGGTTTTGTGCAGAGCTCTGCCTTCCAAGTGGAGCTGCTTTAGCTGGTCCTCGAAGCTGTTGAAAGTGCACTGCTTTGATTCTCCTGGGCTGTCCCTGCCCGTGCTAGTTGGGCTGAGACTTGGCACATGTGGCTTAGTGCAGCTGCTCCCACCACAGTAGTCTGGGCAAATGAAGCTCCCTTTGTGTTCTTATCCATCAGGCGGCAGTTTTTGTTGCAAGGGAAACTGCCGTCTCCTCACCTGTGTCTGGGCACGGGCTAGCCAGCCTCTCAGCACCTGTTTCAACTTGAGGCCTTTCTGTAGCTGTGGTCCAGGCACCCACTGGGGAACCCTGCTTCCTTCCTGTGGTTCTGAGTCTGCCAGAGCTGGAAAAGCTCAGGAAGTAACAGCCTGCCTACAGTGGCACCATAGCCCCCCCACCTCCCGTGCGTGGTATTCACTCTAGTACCCCACACTGTGGCTGGTCCCCCATTCTCCCTGAATCCTCTCCTGACCCCAGTCTTTTTTGGGCCTTTTGAGGATAAAATCCCAATGCCAGATGGTGAGGTGTTCTGCCTGAGTCTCCTACAGGGATACAGCCTGGTGCATAACTGCCAACTCTGACACTACAGAGTCTGAATTCAGGCTTCCCGGTCTCTTGTCTGTGAGTCTTGGACTGGGACGGGTTGTGATCTCCCCGTGCCTCTGTGTGTGAATCTCCAGCAGTGTTTGTCCAAAGCAGTAGTGAGGCTTAAGTGCTCATAAAACTAACGTAGGGCCAGGGATATAGCTCAGTGGCACAAGTGCTTGCCTGGCAAGGTCCTGAGTTTGATTCCTGATACAAAAAAAAGACCTCTAGTTGTATGAAGCATCTCAGTGTTTGACACCCCCTGTGTTTTCCTGAATGTTAGTGGTTCAGATTGAGGTGGGCCTACAAAAAAATGTATGTAAGGCGAATCATTGTGGTGAAGTGGAAGTCTCCTGTGACAGCCTCTCCTCCCGGTGTTTCCTCCAACTACCCCCAGGGGTCGCTATTCTCAAGAGCTGCTGGACTGCAGAGCATGTGCCTGATGGATAGTGAGAAGCCAGGAGAGCTTTGAACTAAGGAAGTGTGTGAGATAGTGCTTGGCATGTAGTTGCCACCGTGAAGAGCGCCCCTTCTGCAGAGGGCAAGGGTCTGTGGGACCAGAGGTCTCTGTGGTTAGGCTGGCAAGACCGCGCTGTTCTTTGACACTGCCCCTGCCTCTGAGGCAAATGAGCTGAGGAAGCCACACCTAGTGGACCCTGGTGGGACCTAGGTCTCTGCTCTCGCCCTCCTTGCCCATAGTGTGAGGGAGTGGGGCTGAGGGTTGTGTGTTGTGGGATGCCAGTCCGGGTGAGGCTGAGGCGGCCTGTCCCTGCAGGGGACCTTTCTTGTGGGGGGAGGGCTTCTGCATTATTCAC